ACAAAAGGGCTAGGTTATTAATGTCATTTACATGATGGTGGACATCAAAGCCACTGAGAGACGGTAAGCACCTCACCCCGGGTTATGTGCTCAGTTAGGTGGAGCCCTAGTGAGCGAACGTGATGTCAGGTCTTGGGTCCTCCAACTGCACAGGTAGCACTGGTAGAGAAAGAACAGTCTTTGGCCTTCCCACCTTCCTGAGTGCCACTGAATACCAAGTAGAGTTTAGAGAACCAAGTATGTTGCTGTGGCCCCAGCTGAGGCTTGTGCAGGTGCACCTGGACTTTGGAAGCACTGCCTGCCAGGTATTGCTTTGGTTATCAGTGTGCTCAACTCCACATCCTCTTGGAGGGACACATGAGGATGCCAACAGGAGCACAGGGGCCCTGGGTAGGCCAGCGGGCAGCCCTGCAGGCACCTGGACGGCTTCATGCCCTCCTGGGACTCCCTGAACCCAGGCTGGGACAAGAATGGAGTTTGAGTGGCCACCTGGGATCTCTGGGGGAGATGCTGGTCTGGTAGGGGGAACTTTTGGGTTCCTTGTAGGCAGAACTGCTGTCCATAGCACTGAAGCCTGCTGAGTTACATGTTAACCTTTTAGTTGCTTGATTGGTGGGAAGGGGAGTGCTCTAGGGGGGATCTTGGATTTGGCACAGCCAGGGAAATAGGGGCAGGGGACACAATCAAGGGAAGGATGGTGGAGGGGTAGGGCAGTGGGTATTCACCAACAAGTATGCATATATTTCAATATTTTAATAACAAGTACAACCGTACCAAGTTCAGCCCTACTTCAAGGTCAAAGAAAGAGGAGGTGAACATGTACATGTGATGCTTTTATGCATTGCTGAATCCATGTACCCATCTAGTTATGAAATACTGCAGTGCCACTATGTGCCAGCACTACACTGGGTGGCCCAAGATGCATGAGACACAGCTGACACCCTGAAGGAGCTCACGGGAACTTAGCAGTTAGCTTTATACACAGCTGAATGTACCAGAAAGGGGTTATGCCCACAGAGGGAGAAGCTCCTAGATCTTCCTGGGGCATCCTGGCAGGGAGTGTTTGGAGAGGGCACAAATGGGGGGCCCGGCACTCACAGCACCTTCCTGGTAACCCTCATACATAGGCCTAAAAATTGTCCATAATCTATAATCTGGGGAGGGGGGTATAACCATTCTGCAGGCCCCCTCCTGAAACAGCTCCTAGGTCCTCCCCCTGAGTCTCGAGGGTTTCTTCTTCACTATGTTCATGTCCCCCCTCCCCCCAGAGATATAACAGTGCATCAGCCAACAATCCCAGCTCTTATGGAAGGAGGATTTTTTTCCTACAACGATCAGATAGCAAATGACAAGAATATCCATATGCTTAATATCACTTGTTTGTAAAGTAATAAAATATGGTGAAAGCACCATTGTTAACCTTCGCATTGTTAAAAATAATACAGAGGCAGAGGGCTCAGTCCAATTCAGACATGATCGAAGAGACACTTGCATCTCTGCCAGTACCAACAGATGCAGAAATTAAATTGTTTTCCCAAAGGAGATACTCCGGGAGGAAATGGTCGGGCAGTAACTATGCTCATCTATTCAATCATTTTCTCTATGAACACGCATTAGCACTGATGCTCCATTCCATACTTGGGTAGGTCCGGGAAGCACAAGGCCACAGGGTGTTCCCTGGGGAGTTCATCGCTCCCTGTAGGAAGAGATGTGTGAGCAGATAGTAGTCTTACATTAAAGAGTAAATAATGATCCACCTCTATTAAGAAATTCGTAAATTAGTATGGCCATTGCTGTGGATTGGTTGAATTGGGTTCCCCAAAGTTTATATCCCCACTGTAACTGTTGAGGTTGGGAAGTCCTATTATGGTAATTGAAAGATGGGGCCTTGAAGAGGTGATTAGATTGTAGGACCGTGCAGTAATGAATGGATCAATAATGGTGGTCAGGGGCGTGGTTCTGAGGCCTTTAAAAGAAGAGCCCATGAGAGTCTCTCTCTCTCTCTCTCTGCTCTGCCATTTTCTGTCATGTGAGACCCCTGCATTGCTGTAAATCCACCAGCAAAGAACACCCTCACCGTAAGTGTTCCCTGGACTTTGGACTTCCCAGTCTCTGAAACTATAAGCGATAAATTTTGTTTTCTTTCTAAAATACCCAGTTCCGTGTATTCTGTTATAAGCAACAGAAATGGACTAATACAGCCATGGTAGCCCCACATATACATCAAACATTCCAACAAAGAAAGCTGCAGATGGAAGATTACATTTCATCTCTGTGTTCTCCAGCTCATCCGTGTGGCTTGGCTCACTCGCCAGGACTTTCTTAGAAATGTCCCAAGTGCTTTGATGGATGATGGCATGTAGATCTGACTTCAAAATGTTGACCCTCCTGTTATCTTTCAACATTATTCTCATAGTCTAAACACAATGGGAAGTATAATACTTAGTTCAGTCTTGTCTTATCTTTGCCTAATCCCCCTCTCCAAATGGCTGAGATTCTTTTGTTGTTGAGGAGAAAGAAATGTGGATTTGGGCATTAACCATTAAAACCGAATCCTAAACGACAACTAAAATGTTAAAATTTCACACATTCTAGAAGTCCCTTTCTGGAAACCAGCACGTAGGAGGCTTCTGCTCTGAGGCAGATGTGTCTGGGCACTGATTTTTCCTGTTCTCTGTGCCCCATCAGTAGCTACATTACTCTAGAGAGGAAAACAGTGGGTGACTGATAATCTGCGAGGACAGTGTGGCCACTGTGGCCACCAATCCTGAGGGGGTGGCTGTGGGGGCCCAGAAGCTGTCCCTGTCCTTTTCTGTTGGGAGCCTTGGATGATGAATTTAGCCTCCGTGAGCTGAATTCCTCAGCTGTCAAATGGGGAAAACCTAATCCCTTGCACTTTTGGACCATGTAGGATGCGTACTTGGTCGTCCTCACATGGTAACCACCTTCACCTTACAGAAGAGGAAACCAAGGGCACTTGGGGTGTTCAGTAAACTTTCCCAAGGGATAGTAAGTGTAAAGATTGGGTTCACAGCAGGGTTGTCTCCAGTACCCAAGCTACCATTGGGTCGGGTGGGGTGAAGGACTCGCTGCAGGGCCAGTGCCAGACGGACCTGACCATGAACATTAAAGTGCTGGAAGAAAGCACGGGCCCTGAGGGCTTACATGGGTAACAGCCCTGACAGATTCAGGGTCTAGGAAGGGCTTGTGCTGGAGGGATGGAGACTGTTCAGGGGAAGACCCAGCTGAGCTCCTCTCAGGGGGAGACTGATTTGGAGCAGAATGACAGTCCCCAGTTCTTCCTGATCTGCTGCCCACAGGATTTCAGAGCAGGCTCCTGGGTGGCCCATGTGCTGAATGCCGGCACTATGTTAATCTTTTCTTTTTCTCAACCCTCCTCTAACACCAAAACTATATAATCACTCCAGGAGCTGAGGGCACACAGTCCGGACACCCCGAGTCCACAGGGCCACACACAGCACTGAATGGGTCTGTCTGCCTGTCTGTCCTAGGCTCTGCTATGATGCCCTTTGCTTCTGACACCACCAGTTCCAGGTTGGTACCTCCATGGGGCTTCCCTTGGGTATCTTTTACATGTTGACCAGCTTTCTCTCCTGCCCAGGAGAGCTGAGGTGATCAAGCCTTTCCAGGGCTCCCCAGCCCGTGGCCAGCAAGGTCGCCCATCTGCCCTCTGCCCTCTAGGGGGACAGAGCGACACCTGCTCTCAGGAGACGCTTGCAGCTTTCACTTTTGCTCCAGGACACTGCTTGTTTCCTCCTGTCAGGTTAGCTGAAACCTACCTTTGCCATGTTGGAAAGGTACGTCTTTCTTCTCAGTCTTTTGACAAACACAGTAACTTCTGTTAAGAACAATACACATGGCCATTACTGATACTATAGCTCCAGGTTCTCGTGGGCGGTGGTGGGGAGGCATGGCAGCTAAGCTGCACTGTCACCGTCTGCCTGTCCGCCGGCCCTTCCCCGATGGCCGGAAACGTGTGTAATCCCAACATCTGACACGGGTGGGCTATGGTCTCAATGTCTGTGTCTCCCTGAATTCGTATGTTGGATCCTTATCCCCCAGGTGACGGTATAGGAGGTGGGATCAGCACCCTGATAAAGGGGCCCCAGAGAGCTGCCTCGCCTCTTTTCACCACGTGAGGACAGAGTAAGAAGGTGCCATCTACTAAGCAGGAAGGAGCCTTCACCAGGCACTGATCTGCCGGCGCCTTGGCCTTGGACTTCCAGCCTCCAAAGGTGAGAAACAGATGTCTGTTGTTGATGAGCCACCCGGTCTGTGGTATTTTGTTATAGCAGCCTGAGCAGACTAAGACGTGTGCTCAAAGGAGTTTAGGATTTTTGCCCCGGAAGCCTGGGCACCCCCGACCTTCCCATCTCTACAGCCCTCCTCAGAAAATGATCAGAGGAAGGGAGAAAAGAGAAAACAGGGAGAGGAGGCCGCTGTCCTCTCGGATGTATCGCTTACTCATGTGGCACATATCTAGGAGGACACTCGTGCAGTGTTTGCTCGATAAATGCTCACTGGAAGTTTGCCGCATAGACAGACAGAGGAGGACAGCCTCCCCCTTCTAGGGGCTCATCCTCTGGAGGGGGGATCCCCGCTATGCAGACCTCCTCCCAGTTGCAGGGTGAGTGCTCCTCCCGAAACGTGGGAGCAAAGAAGGAAGTGAGGGGCCTGGGAAGGGAGAGGTCTGTTTGGAAGGAGGTATCAGAGGAGGCCTCACCGAGAAGGTGACATTTAATCTGGGCTCTGACGAGTAGGGAAGTGGGGTGGGGGAAGGCAGTCAGGCACAGAGAATAACGGAAATAAAGGCTTTTTGGGGACAGCCAGTCTTGTGTTGCTGGGGCGCACCAGTGGGTCATGCAGGTCCCTGGGGAGATGGAGACAGGGATGGGGCCAGAGGCCAAACAGGAATGACTGTTCAGCAAGTGAAGGAGAGTGGAATGACTGGGCAGAGGGGAGTGTGGCTGGAGGGAGGGGGCTGGAGGAAGGTCAGTCAACTAGGAAGCTGCTGAAGTAGCCAGGAGAGTGATAGAGAGAGACGCAGGGCTGCAACTCAGGCAGGTGCCACAGGAAACTGAGCGGGTGTCTGCTCCCCTCCACAGACCCCCTTCACAGGGTGGGGAGTGAAGAGTAGACGTGGTCCCTCCTGTGGGCACTTTGAGGAGACAAGACCCCCACCTGCACCACCCAGGAAACCACTGCAAGGGGAGCAAGCCTTATAGAAACGTGGGGAAATAACTGGGGCTCACGTGGGGAGCGATGGCCCTGTGCTGGCCCAAGGAGGGCAGGCCGGGTGAGGAGGGGACGTTGGTGAGAGCTGCAGGCAATGCTGGGGAAATGTCACAAGGCGCCGGGGACTGCCGGGCATGGCCACAGAGCAGGTGCGTGCTACTGTCTAAAGGGCCATGGAGTTGTAGGGGGACAGAGGCCAGGTTCATGCAGGGCTGGGACAGCCACAGAGCAGCTCAGGATCGCAGTAGGAAGCCCCCGCATGCCCCGAGCAGACACATGGCCTGGTAGAAGCAGTAATCAGACTTCAACCTGGCAGCAAGACGGAAGGGAAAGCATTCTAGAACGTCGACGGGGAGGAAAGTTGTTGGCGTAGGATAGAAGAGTGGAGTGGGGGCTGGTGGAGGTGTGGAATAGTGAGGGCTTGACCGACGTATACAAAATTCCAGCCAGACAGGTGGAATAAGATCTACAGCACTACAGCGTGACTGTAATTAACAAGTTATCGTATACTTTCTATTAGCTAGAAGAGAGGACGTTGAATG